GGCAATTGGGAATACCATATTTAAATATCAGCTTTACTCAGAAAAACTTTAATATAGCAGTAGCATGAAAAGTAATACTTGTAATGATAGCAAAAATTTACTTAAAAAATATATCAGCAGGACAACAGATTAATACTATGCAAAAATCAGGATAGATGAAGAATAATCATTAAATATGGTTGGTTGAGGACAGATCAATAAGTATAATCTTAACTTTGTTAAACACTTGGTTTGATATTCTACTCATTCTATGTTTAAGAGTAATCAAGTTGTTTGGAATAAACAGCAACAATTACAACAAAATCCTAAAAAAGAACTTGTAATAGATATAGCTAGGATGAAATCATGTATACCCAAGTAGGAGAGAAAAGAAGCTTGGGGTTGATTTTGTCTTATTTAACTAATAACTAAATAATAATTATGATGGCCAACATTTTTTAAGCACTTACTGATGTTTGCTTTATATATATATAAATATATATAAATTTTAAATATATAAATAATATATACATAAAATAAATAAATAAATATAAATAAAAAAATATATATATATATCTACAAACATTCTGAGGTCTCAAGGTTTATCTTTAAAATTCTCCACAGTTAATGTAATTTCATTGCAGTGTAATGCATTTCCAAGTTTATTTTACTATAATACAATCAACACTTACTGAATACTACTTGCTGAGAATTTTACACAAATTACCTTCCTTCTTGCAAGTATAGGCACTATTTCTACTACCACTACATAGTGAGGAAGCTTCAGTTCAGCAAAGTTAAGACACATTCCCAAGCTTATGAAATGAAGATCAGATTTAAGTCACACAAGTTTCTCTTTGTTCTTCTCCAATGTATTACACTGTACCTTTTAAAATTTTGTTTTATTTAGTTTAAAATTGTTGGCTGCATTGCATCTTCACTGCTGTGCGTGGCTCTCTCTAGCTGCAGCGAGTGGGTTGCACTCTAGCCGTGGTGCGTGGTCTCACTGCTGTGCGGGGCTTTCTCTAGCTGCAGCGAGCGGGGTTGCTCTCTAGCCGTGGTGTGTGGTCTCACTGCTTTGCGTGGCTCTAGCTGCAGCGAGCAGGTTGCTCTCTAGCCGTGGTGCGTGGTCTCACTGCTGTGCGTGGCTCTCTCTAGCTGCAGTGAGCGGGTTGCTCTCTAGCCGTGGTGCGTGGTCTCACTGCTGTGCGGGGCTTTCTCTGGCTGCAGCGAGCGGGATTGCTCTCTAGCCGTGGTGCGTGGTCTCACTGCTGTGTGTGGCTTTCTCTAGCTGCAGCGAGCGGGTTGCTCTCTAGCCGTGGTGCGTGGTCTCACTGCTGTGTGTGGCTTTCTCTAGCTGCAGCGAGCGGGTTGCTCTCTAGCCGTGGTGTGTGGTCTCACTGCTGTGCGGGGCTTTCTCTAGCTGCAGTGAGCGGGGTTGCTCTCTAGCCGTGGTGCGTGGTCTCACTGCTGTGCGTGGCTCTCTCTAGCTGCAGCAAGCGGGTTGCTCTCTAGCCGTGGTGCGTGGTCTCACTGCTGTGGCTTCTCCTGCTGCAGAGCGGGTGGGCGTCAGTAGCTGTGGTGGCAGGCTTTGTTGCCGCGCAACACGTGGATCTTCCCGGAGCAGGGACTGAACCCATGTCTCCTGTGTTGGCAGGTGGAGTCTTAGCCACTGGACCACCAGAGGCCCCTACGCTGCTTTAGATCACTTTTCAGTTGAATGAGTTAACTCTTCCTCCTCTAATTACCTAAGACAGAGGTCAGCCATTTTTTTCTGGAAAGGGCCACACAATGTTTCAGGCTTTGAGGACCATACACAGTCTTCGCTGGCTGCAGAAACCCAGTTTTACCACTGCAGTGTGACAGCAGCCACACGCGATCCTTAAATGAATGACGTGGCCGTGTCCCAGTAAAACTCTACTTACTCAAACAGGTGGCAGGCAGATTTGGGCAATAGCTTGCAAACTCAATATGAGTGAAATTCATATTCCAGACTGAATGCATATTTAGATGCAGCTTTGTATAATTGCCTGTACTAGATTGACAAGAAGAGGTCGTAAGAAAACTGATTTTAAAAAAGATAGACGCTAATGCCAAAAGGTGAGGGAAACAGACTGGACTTTACGGGTCTGTCCTTGCTAGTCCATCTCAGGACGACAGGGACCCTTCCCCCTTTCCTGAGCTCCCACTGGGCCCAAGGACACTGCCTCGCCTCTGGCATCCAACGGACAGGCCACGGCGCGTCTCCCTGTAGTGGGGGCTCTCATTTAGGTGGCTGCCCCTTGTATTTCCACCTAACTGGAATCTACCCCTGGAGCCCAGCGAATTTACTAATTATCCCTTCTACGTCTTTTATGTCTTATCTTTTTTTTTTTATGTCATATCTTATGTCTTTGCTCAATGTTAGTAAAACTGTCCCCCTCTCTCTGTTCACTGATTTCAAAAGCTAATTCAAAAAATATTTTACTGCATTCCTAGTTCAAAATTGTAAGTCCTCTGATTCACCTCTAAAATATCATTTCTAAACACACCAACCATACTCATGTATTCTGTTTCAACTGTTGACTCACTTATTTCAAACACTACAACACTAATACCATAAAGGAATTAAGAGAATCCCTTAAGAGCTCATTGTCACTGGATAAAACGGGTAACTGGCAAAAGCAGTTAAGATTGATTTTAGAGATTTAGCTTTGTTTTCATGCTCTGAAAGATGAGAGGAAAGGGTAACCTTCCCTTTCACACTGCACTGGAAGGTAAAGGTTATTCCATCGTACAACACTAATGACAACTGGGATATCAAAATCAAGAAGCTGAAGTAGAAAAATATCATAGGGACACTGAAATGTCGAAATGCAGTAAAATAAGGCACGAAAATAAAATGAAATATGTGTGACATTACAGATTTCTGTTAAGAAAGAATGTCATTGATTGATGAGTGTTTCTCGTGTAATTTTACTAAAAAGAATAAGATATTCAAAGCATGCTTTTTGCATGGTCATTAAGATCGTCGCTGAGACCAGGCAGGAGGGAAAACTGTCAGGAAGTGTGTGCTCAGCACAGCCCGCGGCTTTCTCATCAGTTCTTTACTGTGGCTCCTCCTTCACTCCTCTGGGTGTTACGCCAATGCCTCGCTCTTCCCTCTGCTGGTGGCTATGGCACCTCTCTCTGTTTCCTCACTTTAATTTTAAAGAAGCTTGAAAAGATCACCTTGTTCAATTTTACTTTGTCTTCATCTTGTTGATGCTTGTGGCTTATTTCTCTCAAGCTGGCTAATAATAATATACAGTTGACCCTTGAACAACACGGGCTTGAACTGCGTGGGTCCACTCATACCTGGATTCCTAGTCCTTATGACACCTCTACACCATCCAGCATTGTCTGAATCCCCAGATCAGAACCAGGGATACGGAAGGTCAACTGTAAGTTACATGTGGGGCTTCCCTCCTGGCTCAGATGGTAAAGAATCTGCCTACAGTATAAGAGATCCGGGTTTGAATTCTGGGTTGAGAAGATTCCATGGAGAAGGGAACAACACCCACTCCAGTATTCTTGCCTGGAGAATCCCATGGACAGAGGAGCCTGGACAGATAATCCATGCGGTTGCAAAGAGTTGGACATGACTGACTACAACTACCAACGCACCACTGCATCGCTAACCCTGGAGATATTTAACAACTGATTCTGAAAATGATGCTTGGAGACTCTGTCTCTCAAGAGGAAAACGTTATAGACAACGTGTAACTTGATTTTTAAAGCAAGAATTCAGAGTGATTTCATTGCTGAAAGTTAGAGCTCAGAGTAAAGCAATACAGTCACCAACGAGGAGTTAATGTCTTAAAAAAAAAATCACACGAAACTCAATAGTTACGTCAGTGTGGCAAATGGTGCACACTCACAAGAAACGCACAATGGACACTCACGCATCAGGGCTCTGATAAGGCCTGCATAAAGAAACGTGTTAAATTTGAACGATACCCACAAAACTTGCCTGACCCCTGAAACTTTTACCGCCAGTCTGTTACCACCTCTTAAAACTATTTCATGGAAAGCTGCCAGAGAAGCTTTTGGAGAACTAATTAATAGTTTATTAAACTCAAGAGGCAATTTAAAATTTAGCTACAAGATGTATTTCTTCATATTCCTTTTGAAAATTCCTAATATAGTTGAATATATCAGTCTATTATGGTTGAATACAATTACTAATATGATTGAATACATCAGCATTGATAACTGCTACAGTGAAAGACAAGGGATGATGACTTGGAATTATTTATCAATGAACACTATAAACCTCAATCAGGACGGAGTCCACTAACTTTGTTTTTGCCATTAACCAACAGGGTGACTCTGGGATAAAGAGACTAATCACTTCGACGTCAAATGGGGCTAGACTTGCTCCATCTACACAAGTGGCACATTTGGAGAAACAAGTGTTCAAGATCAAGACTCAGACGAACTTCTCATCAATAATAAAGCTGTATAAAAGCATAGGAAGTTATCAAAGCATAAAAAGGAATATATTATTTCAAATAGAGCCTTGGCTTCCTTCTTCCAGAACCACACCAAATGCCACTGTGATTTCTGCCTTCCTTGAACTGAGCAGGATACTGTCCTCAAATTGCTAAAGATCTCATTTTACTTAGAAAACGAATTTTCGTTTAGCCAATAATCATGACAATGTATCATCACATTCCCCCCCGCCTCCACAAAACACATGATAAGAATAAGAAAATGAGGAAACTTGTTTAAAGGAAGAAAGATTTCTTGCAAAGGGCTTTGTGAGCAGCACCACCTTACTCAGGGCTCTGTGACGAGCAGGTCTGCGGCGGCCCTTCACTCCTGCTGAATAAAGACAGTAGGGCTCTATATTCTCTGAGTCCTTCATTAAACTATTGATCCCTTCAGCATTATCCATAATGTTCCCGCAGCTCAGCACGTCAGCTGGTGAAGTGCTGGCCTCTCACTCCTCTCAATAACCTGCGGACTTTATGGAGAGGAAGTCACAATGATTTATTTACCTGACATTTTCCAGTCCGAATGTCGTACAAGGCCACTGATCCGTGGCGCGCTCCAACGGCTATTCTGTGACTCCGCTCATAATAGCTGACCATGTAGAACCTGCATTGAACAGTTAAACAACAGCGAAAAGGAAAAAAACAGGTGAGATGACCCGCACGTCGAAGTGGATGGCAACACACTCTGAAGATTAAAGCCAGTTCCAACAAACACTGTTAAATAAGTATATCCATAATTAATAGATGGAGCTTTTCCAAAAACGTTTCATTGTGGTAATTCTTAAAATCAAATGAAAGAAAAATGATGCAGAATACCACTTAGGCCTGTTAATGATTATTTTCAATAGAAAACAACTTTATAATTACAAACATCCTTGAATTTTGAAATAAGAAGGGTCAAAAACAGAAAAGATTAAACATGAAAACACAGTTTTGCTACAGTGACTATTATGCAAATATTTCTATTCAAACAGAAATAGAAAAGATGAAAAGGCTTATATATTCAATCTAATTATGTTTTCATGGTTTATTATGGTATTAAGGAATGAAAATTATTTTTTTAGCAGATCATAAAAATATAGCATATTAAATACATTATGCTTAAATGTTCATATCAGTAATTTTAAATGAAATTAGAAAGTTATTCACCAAAAAAAGTTATCTGGCAAATTTTCTAGATTTTCCACGTTTATCAGTTTATCCAAATGATAACTGTGCCTATTGGTAACATAAATAAGCATATTGGGTGATTTGGCATTACATGAAAATAGGATTTAGGGAGGATGCTTTGAAGGTTGTAAAAGGTTGATTTACTTTTATTTGTTTATTTTTCTGGATTAATTTTCAGGACTTGATTAAGTATTTGAATTCCTGATCTTTGCTTTGTCATGATTTAATAGCCATATGGCTAGAGCCTGGGAAGGCAAGAATAAAAATTATTAAAAGTGTAAATAAGGTATGCTTTGATGTCCCCAAAGAGTTTCAAATATGCCTTCCCATTATCCAGTCCTACTGTCTCAGTGAGAGTTACCCAGATAAATTAGTGGCCTACTCGCAATATTTCTGAGGACATTACATCAATTTTACTATATATTTCTTTCCTTTTTTCTCTTTGCTTCTCTGCTACCAAACTAAATGTTCAGTTATTTTTTTAAAACATAGGAGGGGAGAGGAAAAACAGATGACGGAAAAGAAGTAGCATGTCTCTAATTCTTTCTTGAGATTGATAGAGTTAAAAAACAAACAAACGAACTAGTGGGGCACTGGGCTCCATTTCTAAAATTCTGGTAAGAGGCTGAGAGAAAGGAGAGGGGAGATACCTGTGAGCATTTAGAAACCAGGGACAGTCTGACGAAGCCATTTTTGGCATTGTCAGACTTTATGACTTTCTTTTTTTTTTTTTTCCACAGTAAAACAGGAGAGCTTTATGGTCCACGTGGTGCGGAAGGACAGTGAAGGACACGAGTGTTGAGGGCCTCCTGCTCGGCCCACGCATGCCCGAGCTCAGGTGCAAAGCCGGACGCCGTGCCTGGGAAGAGCCGCCCCCACAGAGGCGCCAGCACTGCCTGGCCTCGGCGCGCGGGGGTCCCGGAGTCTGGAGACTTTATGACTTTCATACACATTTTATAAATTTGGAAAACAGGCCATTAAGTGTTTAAATTTTTTGTCTGATACTTATTCAGCAGTACTTCTGTCTGATCTCTAAGCCCCAGCCAGGAGGGCAACTTTTTTCCTTTTTAGTGGAAGATAAAGGCTTCATTTCCAGTCATATGAAAGACACTACTCTAGGATGTCCTGTGGGGTTGGGCTGGTATGGGAGGTTCTCTCGTGCATTCAGGTGTGAGGGAAGGAAGAGGACTAGACTCTTGACGTGTGTGGCTTCCCCCTACTGAGTGGTGAATAAAAACTTTCTTTAAAAATCTTTCTTGTCTAAAGCATTCTACTACTGTCCCTACATAGAGAAGGTAAGAACCAACAATTAGCATTCAAATTTTAAGGTTTCCACACTAAAAAAGAAAAGATATTTAGAAGAGCTTTAAAATGTTTACTATTTTATTATTCAATAATTACTGTGGTCTAAGAAGGAGCATCACTATGTATCTATATGTATGCCTATATCTACACCACATCTAAACATACCTAAGCCCACACAATTTAAACCCTATTAGAGTAACACGGAATATAACATTTAAGAAATGTTTTAACAAATATCTATTCTGTGCAGGTTAACAGCCACAGGAAAATAACATTTCCAGAGGTATTTTGTTATCTGTTATTGAACTTTGCACAGATGTAAGAGTTGTATTGTCCCAATACTTCTGTGAAACGTAAATATAACTGCCCTTCAAAATAATCCTCTTGAAAACAAGCCTTTGGTAAAATACACTTATGCTGACAAAATTTTACTTAGTTAAACCTGAATCTAAAAAGTTTTTTTTATTACTTTGACCGTTTTCTATGCTCTGGGTATCAACCTCATCTTTCTATATCACCTACAGACACCATTATTTATGGGAGAAAAAAAGACCAAATCTATTCTTGGTATCAAATCTTTAGTCTGCCTGAAAGGACCATATATTACAGGTCTGCATTTTTCATTCTTTGCAATTTACTGCCAGACTAATACTCCTAAAATATCTGAAGGAATTCTGGACAGTGGAGGTCTCATGGCATGTTTTTAATCTTTGGGTTTCTTGTTAAACTTTCTCTTTCTTTAACAGCCTCTCTTTTAACAGAAGAAATCCAAGGTACGTGTGCATTCACTTCCCAAGTACTCACTCTGGGGACTGGCTGCAGTGACTGTCTCTCTGCTGAGGGCTTCCAGGGCCCACCTTGCCCCCAGACTAGTCTTCTCCTGGAACCAGTTCTCCAATGTAATGTTGCAAAATGTGTTTCTTGCTGGGGCTAGGGTGGTCATCATGCAAAAGTTTAAAGTTCCTGATCTCCATGCTTTCATCACTGTCCACGCGCATCCAGAGTGGTCCTTTTCAGCCATAAATCAAATCACCTCTCCAGAACGTTCACAACCCTCCTTCAAGACCCTGCATCATCCGGCCCTAACGCCTCTCAGACTTTATCTCGTCTTGCCTTTGCTTGGTCTACTCTGGCCATACTCATCTTACACTTTCATGATTATGCCAGGAGTATATCCATTTTGGAGTTTAACATTTGCTGCTCCTTCCGCTTGAAAACCTCATCCTCCCGGGTGTGTGCCCTCGCTTCACTCAGGTCTCTGCTCCAGGGCTGCCTGGATAAGGAAGGCCTTTAAGAGCCACCCGTCTTATTTAATACAGCAGCTGTTCTCCACTCTTCAGTCCAGGACCCTAGTTTTTCTTTACTGTACTTGTCATCTCTTTGAGATTATACAATAATTTTTTGCTTACTGTTTCTCACCATCAGAGACTTTATCTTTTGTTGAACGTATATATACATAACCAGCGTCCAAACAACCTATTGAACAGGGTCCTACATTAACCTATGTATTGCAGGATACAGCAGTACACAGGTTAATGCCGTAAGAGGTCCAAAACACTATGCTTATCCTTCAGTGACTAGTACATAAACTAGGCTAAAAATGTCAGCTTTTAAGACTAATGAATACTGTCTAATGTCTAAAATAATAACCAGTAAAAAACAACAAAGGAAATAAAAACTGTCTAAAAAAGTTAGGCAGAAATCGTGAATCAGAAAGCACCCCCCTGACCTTTCTAAAAAATGTATTTTCCATTGAGACAAACAACTGCAGATTTACAAGAAGTTATATGTAAAGACTCTTGAAGTTTGAGTACATTATCATGAGATTAACGAGTGCATAATGGAAATTATTTCATTATGTTTCAGGGAACTAGAAGAGATTATTTGGTCTGAAACTTAAGGCGAATATAGTCAAAATACTGATATATACACTACAGTATATGTATTTGGTATAAGTGGTCTGAGAATAAAAATTATTCTAAGAATCAGATATTTATATAGGCACATATAAATTTCATTGAATATAGTATTATCACACAAAACATAATTAAAAGAAATAATCACTTATTGGTCATCAGAAGCTACCAGAATAAGTTATTCTATTTCTCCAAAGCGTATTTGTGACATTAACCCCTCAGGAGCCACTGACAACAGGATGCCACCCCCTCACAATGGGGTGGTTTACAATGCTAAATAAATATGTGAATTTGGTCCACTCTGGGGCAGGATCCTGGAGCAAATCATGCTGCCTAAGAGTTTGCCAAGCACCCAATGCCTGAGTCTAAGTAACTTTGGTACCCTTTACTTACAGTCTCCCTTGATGACCTTTATACTTTTTATTAAAAATGGTCCTCAAATAGGGATTATATGTATACCTATGGCTGATTCATGTTGAGGTTTGAGAACATCAAAATTCTGTAAAGCAATTATCCTTCAATAAAAAACAAATTAATTTTTTAAAAAATGGTCCTCAAATAAGAGAAGTTTGTGTGATACTTCAAAAAAAAAGGGGGGGGGGAAACATGCAACTCTCAGCAGAGGTAGGATTTAGGAGGAAGACAGAAGCCTATAATACCACTTTCTTAACCATGACTCTGGTAATGTGGCATCATGATCTCAGGATGTTAATATTGTATATAGTGTCCGTGAGCATTAAAATGCAACAAGGAACACTCTTCAGTAATGCAAAGTGAATCTCCAGCTAAAATGAACCCATCTAAAAATCTAAGGATGTAAGAAATAGAATGTATGGGCTATAAATATGACTTACAACTAACTACCAGTCACTAACTACCAGTCACTAACTACCAGTCACTAACTACCACTGAGGACAAACCGTGTATCAGGCACTGTGCTGAGAATTTGTATCCGTATTTCCAGGAGTAGCTGAGGTATTAAGAGTGATTCTTATCTAGCTGCTTTTACAAATTCTTGATGTTGATTGAAAATGATCCCAAAACTTTAAACTCTTAGTCTAAAAAGTATTAAGGCAGTACGTAATTATAAAGAACCACCACTAATATGTATGTAGCAAAAGGTAAGTCTTTCCACTCATGCCTCCTCCTTCACCAGGGGTTAATCACTGTTAACAATTTGGTGGCCATTCTCAGCTTTGCCTAATTTTTATTA